CACCAAAAAAATCCCCATGATACCCTATCCCAGCACCTTGTTCGTCCCTATTTGTTTACCAGGCTGTGTCCCATACTGGCCTGAGGGCCAGGCAAGGGTAGGACCACATCGAATTGTCTCTACAGTCATCCCCCTCCCCCGCCCGCCCAGGGCCTGGCACCAAACCAGCATTCAGTGAGTGTTTGCCGAAAGAAGGAGGTTTTCATTGTCCCCGGTGAATGGGTTGAGAGCAGGTGTTCCTGAGTGGAAATGCGGGTGACAAGAGGGAATGGGCTCCAGAGGGGTCTGTGAGTCTACCTGAAAACGGTATGAAAGGCACATGGAGGGCAGAGGGGGATGTGTAGGGGGGTGTGCAGGGGTTATGCATGTGAGCAGTGTGTACGTGCCTGATATGTGTGTACATGCACTCCTATAGTGTATGTGCATGTGGGATCTGTGCCTTTCATCAGCTTTGCAAAGGGCTGTGACCCAAAAAGTTTAAGGACCACCAGAACTGACTACAAGACCAGGAGGCCTGAAAGGTCAAGGTTGGTGCCATTTGCATTAGCTTACCAGGAGGGACACACCAGACCCACTGAGGCCTACCAGCAGTGATCGCGCCCGATGGGTCACTCCCTGACAGTCCAGAGGGGATGTGGCACTTCCGGAGGTGACGGGGACTCCCAGTACCCACCCATCTCTCCCAGTGTTTTGCACATTGGGAGAAGTACTAATTCACTTCATCGAATAGGCAAGCACACACAAAGGAATGAAACTTCTAATCTGTCCACTGACAACCAGCACACCCCTCTCCCCTCCACGATGAGGTTAGGAGCACTGGTCAGGACTCCCACAGCTCTGTCCCCGTTCTTTCTGTTACTTTTTTTGACTGAGGGACACAGCTAAGTATAGTAAGAGTCATACTTTGCATGCCTCTAAGCAAATAAATTTGAAAACCTAAATAAAATGGATAATTTCTTAGAAAGATATGGCTTACCAAAATTGACTCCAGTAGACACAGAAAGTGCAAGCAGACCAATTCCCATCGACAACAAAGAACAGAATAGAGAACAGAAGAGAAAAAGCAATCAGAGAACAACCCCATAAAAAGGCACCAGGTCCGATGGCCTCACAGGGGAATTCTATCACAACTTTAGAAACAGGATAGTCCCAACAATACATATGTTGTTCCTGAGCATAGAAAAGGAAAGAAATCCAAACCACACCAAAAAGGACATTAGAGACAAATATCACTCATGAATACTGCTGACAGGAATCTTAAACATTATCAGACACCAGCCCCACCACCATAAGTGACCAAGTGGGGTTTAAACCAAGAATTGTTCAATATTCAGAAATCTATTAGTATAAGTCAGCATATAAATAGATCTAAGAAGAATAAAATCATTTTTCCATAGATCCTAAGAAGCCAATATAATTCAACTCTCATTCTAATCAAACCTCTCAAGAAAATAGTAATGGGTAGACACTTCCTCAACATAATAAAATCCATACACTTCAGTCCTAGAGCAGACATCTAAGACATTCCTGCCAGGGTCAGAAACAAGGCAAAGGTGCTACCGTCCCCACTACTAGGTGGCAGGCTGCTGAAGGTATTATTAGTCAATGCCATTAGACAAGAGAAAACCACAGAAGCACAATTTGAGGCTCTAGCTCCGTGAGGGCAGGGCCTGGGTCTTATTCCCTATTATATCCCCAGGATCTAACACAATAGATGCTCAATAGTTAGTGGGATGAGTAAATGAATAACAGCTCACATTAACTGAGCACCTCTGTTAAGAGAGCCAAGGGTTTAAAAAAATGCTCATAACAAATCACACTCTGTATTGATTTAAATAGGTCAGGGGGAGCCTGGGTGGCTCAGTCGGTTGAGTGTCTGACTCTTGATTTCGGCTCAGATCATGATCTCAGGGTCGTGAGATCAAGCCCCGTGCTGGGCTCCATGCATAAGATTCTCTCCCTCTGCCCCTCCCGCTCCCCCCCCCCGCCCCCCGCTCTCTCTCTCTCTGTCTCTTAAATAAATAAATCTTAAATAAATAAATAGGTCAAGCCATTCAAGGCAAACAACCCTGTGAGATAAGTACTATTATTTCAACCATTTGACAGATAAGCAAACCAAGGTCCAGAGGGGTTAAAAGACTCACCCAAGATCACTCTGTTGGTAAATGTTTTAAACCCCAGTCGTGCCATAGTGCCCCTTACAAACTGCTTTGCATCTCACTCATCAGACGAGGGAACAGTGAACCCTCACACAGTAGCTCAGAATGCAGCCTCTGGAGCAAGACTGCCGGGTTCATGTTTCAGCTCTGCCATTTACCAACCCTGTTCTCTTGGGGAAATGCCTTCCCCTTCCCATGCCTCACCACCTCCTCCGTAAAATGAGGGTGACAAGAGTGCCCACCTGCTAGGGTTGGAGGGTTACTGCATGAGCTATAATAGGCATCTGCTATGATGCTATAGTTCCATACAACGAGCATCCGACTTTCCCCAAGCTCCTAAGCACCATCACCAAGTTCTGACAATGTCTGTCCCATCCGCCGGCCCTTTCCTTCCTTGACTTTTGCCAAGCTCATGCACAGAGCTAAGGGCAGCCCTCACACGCATCACCAATATGTTGTCACCTGGGACAAAGCCCAATGGCAAGCTAAAGGCTAGCGTCAGTCCTTGGGGAGTTCCACCATTCAGAAGCAGAGAGGTGACCCCATTAACATCTGGGTAAGCCAGAGGCAGACCCACATCTGGAAGAGCTCACTTTGCCTCCCAAGGCTCACAACACGCCCTCTCTTCCTCAGCCATGATGCTGCCTACTTCCCAGCACGGAACCATCGTTTACAGATTCCAGAGCAAACTCCCCACTCTGCAAGGGGGGTGCTATACATAGGAACTCCTTTCCAAAGAGCACAGTTTGCAGAGGAGGGACTTTACAATGGAGAAACCCGACACATACTACTTTGACCAAGCTGATCAAGGTCAGTATCAACGGTGATCAATCAAGCTGATAATAGGTACCCTTGATAGGATGTGATGGACACAGTCCTATCAGCTGTGTGGTCTTCGTCCCCTAAACCCATAGCCCCAGCCTTTGCATGAGGGAAACATCAGAAAGACCCTAACTGAGGCACACTCTACAGTATACCTAACCAGTGCTCCTCAAAACTGTCAAGCTCATAACAAACAAGGACAGTATGGACTCTAGTTCATAATAATGCATCAGTATTGGTTCATGAATAACAAATATATTAGTGTAATGTAAATAAAATGGGGACCTGGGTGCTTGGGATATGGCAACTCCCTCTACTGTCTTTACAAGTGTTCTGTGACTCTCAAACTGTTCCAAAAAAATAAAGTTGGTTTGTTTTTTTTTTTAAATGATTCCAGGGTTTTCGCTGTGGCCATTTAGACACCCATCTGGCGGCCACCAAGCACCACTTGCCAAGAAAAACTATAAAAAGCACCTCCCATCAGATTCGGCTTGGAAACTATTTCCCCGGAAATCTCCCCTGTGCAAAAAAAAAAAAAAGAAAAAAAAGTTGACTGATTGTGAATCTGGGAGGGGTATACGTTCCCTGCAAAACAGGACTTCAATCTTAACAAACAAACAGCGTGGATGTTAAAGGAACCTTAAAGGGATCATTTGCAGATTCTTAATTGTATCTTTTCAAAGCAAAGGAAGGCCTCCAGATTGCAACTCGAGAAGACTGGTCTCCTTTGTTGGCTAATTATTTCCATCTCCAGCCAAAATACAGAATGATTTACTAATTACCATCTTCCTTGTCATCTAAGCCAAAGCAAAGCCCCTCACCTAACGTGGCCAGTGAAGACCATGAGGTAAGAAAAGTTAAAACTTCTCATTCACCTCCCTTACACAGCATCTCTGAGAAGCACCAAGCCTCCAGATATCTGTGAAAAGGCCTCCTACACCAAGCAGCCTGCACAACCCCTTCCTGCACTCCGGATGCGGCCAAGCCCCAGCGCATCTGGAAGTTACCAACAGGCCTGCCCCGGAGGCTTCAACAAGCATTGGCTGGGCTGGGCTGTCAAAATCAGGAAGCCTGGTTGGGGTTGGGTTTTTTGTTGTTGTTGTTGTTATTTTCCAAGACAACCTGCTAACCAGAAAGATACAGTGAGGTTGGGCATGCAACCTCCTCCACCTTCTGACAAATGTTCCTGCTAACCCACGTGAAGTGATGGCCCAGCCTGGGGAAGTCCCCAGCCACATCGGGCACCTAAAAGCATGGACTGACAGGTCGCCGAGGCAGGAGTAGGCTTCTTCTTCCTGAATCCACACGCCAGGCTTCCCCACCAAACCCCACATGCATGATGACTGGGGGCTAGGGGATCACATAACAAAGCTCAGACTGATCCATTTGGGGTGATCCACAAAGGCAGCCCCAGAACCCAGGGACGAAAGGGGCTGGCTTCCTAACACTGAAGCCAAATCACCCTCCAGCATCAGACACAGACAACCTCTTCACCGGTTTCAACACCGAGTCCCCAGCAAGGCCAGCTCACAGGCGGTGCTGTCTGGGGAGAGGAGGGTCAGCGTCCCGGGCCCTGACCGTTGGGCGCAGTTGCAACCTCTTTGTGCATCAGTCCTCTCCCTACTGACTCCATTCTTTGGCTTCCTCACCTCCTCCCTCCAGGGGCATATCAATCACTTCCTTTCCCCTCCGAAGACCCTGCAGCAGGCAAGAGCCAGCTGAGGCCCCTACCACCCCTTACTTTGCTACAGTGACCCTCAGGGACAAGTCACCAGTAACTGCAGCCTGACGCCCTACTGGGCAAGAGTGAGCCTACCGCCCCCTAAAGGTGGCAACAGTCCCAGACGCCTCATGCCCTCCCTCTCACCTGGGGAGACGCACCCCTCCCTCCCTCCAACCCCCCCCCAAAGTGTGACATCGGGACCAAAGAGGGGCCCCGTGTCCACTCCGCAGGCCCAAGCCCCCGCCCGCGCTCGGGGGCGGGGGCGGGGGGGCAGGCCGGGAGGAGCCTCCACCGACCTTCGATAGGATTCAAATACTCATAGTCGAAGAGGATGGAGAAGTCGAACTCGTCTTGGGGGCTGCCCCCGGGCTCATGGCCCGGGGCGTCCCCGCCGTCGGGCTCGGGCTGCTGCTCCGGGGCGTCCATGGCGCGCAAAGCGGCGGGAGGGTGGCGGGGCCGGGGGCGAGCGCGGGCGCGGCCTTCTCCTGGGCCCCTCGCCGGGAGCGGGGACAGGAAGCGGGGCGGAGAGGCGGCGGGAGCGGCGGCGTCCCTGTCCTCGTGGGGACGCACGCGGGCCCGGGAATGGCGCGCTGGCGCAGCGGGTCCTGGACGCGCCCGGGGAGCTCAGCGGCGGCGGCGCGGGCTTCCTGCTCCGGGAGGCACCTGTTGCAGCCCGCGGAGGGGGAGGCGGGGACAGGGCGGCCGGGCCGGCGGGGGCGGGGCCGCCACCCGGGCCCCGGGGGAGGGAGCGAGGAGGGGGAGGCGGGCTGGCCGGCGCCTGGGAGGGAGGAGGCTGCCGGCCGGCCGGGGCCGCACCGCCCGGGCCCCGCGCTTAGCAACGGGCCCCGGGGGGCCACCGACGGGTGCTTCGGCGCGGCCGCGCTGGGACCCACCGCCTCCCCCCACCCCGCCTCCCTCCCCGCGGGGACCTGGGACCTAGACGGGAAAGCTGGGGCCACTCGTAGTTTTGCCCTACGTGATCACCTGATCCCATTCTTTTCCCTCCTCTCAGGGTGTGAGGGTGGGGGGCACCCATTCCCTTCCCCCCGCAGACAGCGCCTCCAGGTGTTCCTGGGTGCCCACAGCTGTGGCATGATTTTCACCTCCAGTTCAGTCACCTGTATACCCCTGAACGCAATTTCCCAGGACCTGGGAACGAAGTGTAGATACTCTGAGAGCACAAGCCCCGCCCTGACATCTGTACCTCTTAGGCCTCCTCTCATGTGCCTGGTGCCAGGGACCCAGCCTGAACCAGACCCTGATGCCCCGGGAAGCTCAGGTCGGGGGTATGGGCATGAAGGCGATAAACAAGAAAGATCATCTTGAACAGTGTCAGGAGGGAATCACCAGCAGTATGGGGTAAGGGTTGGCAGCTGGGGAGGCTTTCTCCTCTTGGGTGGTCAGGTAGGGCCTCTGGGGTGGGGGTGGGGGGGCGGTGGACCTAAATGACCTGGGGAAAGAGAGTTCTGGCAGTGGGAACCAAAGGGAAGCTAAAGCCCGAAGGGGCTCCATGTGCCCTCCAAGCCAGGAGGGCGGTGCAGTTGGAGAGGTTGGCTGGTAACAAGTACATCCAGACACTGGTTAAAAACACGGATTCCCAGGCTCTCGCTGGAGCTGCTTATTCCCTAAGTCTGGAGTAGAGGCTCAGGAATGGGTATTTTTAAATAAGCACCCAAGAGGAATGTTATGAGCAAGTACATTTGAAGAACACTACATAAGAACCCAGTACCACCAACCGCCCCCCCCCCCACTTCCAAGGGTCTCAGACCAAGTTGGCTGAAGTCAGAAAATAGACTCACAGAGGCAGACAAGGAGACAACAGTGGTCTTCAACCCTAACAGAATGTTAGAATCACCTGGAACACTTTTTCAATGCCTGTGCCTAGGCTTCAGTCCAACCCCCAGGGAACCAGAACATCCAAAGGTATTTTTTTTAAATGACCTCAGATGAATCCAAAGTGTAGCCAGTGTTGAGAATCTCTGGAGCAGAAGATATGGTAGGAGAGGTTCTAGGATTCCCAGAGAACCACAACTTGACCTCACGTGGGGAATGACTCAAATCCTTCCCCATGTGCTAGGAAAAACGGAGAATGTGCATCCTTCATGGGGAGCCATCTCCTCTCCATTAAGGGATTTGTGCAAGGCTAGTGATCATCACTCATTCCACAAATATTTGCTGAGCACCTGCCAGGTACCTGACATTGCTACAGCTCTTGGAGATGCAGCCATCAATAGGACAGCGTCGCTACCCTCATCATGCTTTTATCCTGGAAGCAAAGAGACACAGCAATGAATAGGGTTTTCCAAATTGCACTTAGATCAGTGGTTCTTAACCCCAGTTACGCATTCGAGTCACCTGGAGAGCTATTTAAACATTCAATGGCAGAGCCCCACCAGAGACCAGTTATAATCAGAATGTTTGAACGTGGGGCCTGGGCATCAGGGTTTTGTAAAACCTCCCCAGATGCTTCCAGTGTGTGGCCAGGGATGAGAAACACCTGTTTAGCCTCTCCATTTCAAGGGACCCAGGCCTAGCCTCAGGACTTGCCAACTTTCAGAGACTTAGGAAGTACTTTCTTATTGTCAGAGCAGAAAATGATCCTCTTCTTTAATTCCTAATCATAAGCAGAGCGACACTGGGTGTAGCCAACAAATATCTAAGGTTAGCTGATAAATGTAGATGGAGGAGGAGAGAGTGATGACCCAGACTGGGACATTTAGAGCCGAGCATCTAGAAGGAGGTGGGTGCTTTTGGGTCCTTATGACAGGACCCAAAGTCCAGACCCTGAAATGTGATATTTATCAGGGATAAACAAAGGAACCAACCTGCCCTTATGCTGTAGAAAAAAAGAAGGGCTGGTGTCACCCTCCCATGTCCTTTCTCATCCTCCACCCATAATGATTAAATGCCTCTAATCTAGTGGACATCTGTTGATTTTGCCTACCCGGAATCATTCCCTGCTTCTGATAACAGCATCCCAGGGTGTTCCATTGGCAAACTACTCTTGACACAATTTTGGCAAAACTATCAACCCAGTTGTCCCACCCACCCCTGGCAAAGTGGATGCATGACCAGGCTTGACCAGAGAATTTTATCTCCTCTAGCCTATGAGACCTACTAAGGCAGTGGTCACGACTGCCTCATTCAGACACAGCTTTATGTCCAGTGGATGTGTGGATGGATAGATGGATGAATGGAAGAGTGGGTGTTTGGATGGATGCATGGATGCATGGATGGACGGATGGATGAAAGTGTATGTTTGGATGGATTAATCAATGGATGCATACATAGATCAACTGGTCAATTGATGGAAGAATAGATAATAGTAGATGGATCAATCAATGGCTCAGTGGAAAAGTGGATGTTTGGAGGGAAGGATGGATGGACAGGTGGAAAAAGAGAGTTTAACTCTCCTGTGTAAGTTCCTTAGATTTTAATGACCCCTATTCAGCGGGGAGTCTGCTTGTCCCTCTCCCTCTGCCCCTCCCCACACTCACAAACACTCTCTAAAATAAATAAATTTAAAAAAATAAAAATAAAAAAAGACTCTAACTGCCTTAGTTTTTCCTCTGAACAGTGGATATATTTTAAAAGCTTCTAAGTTTTGGAATCTGCACCCTAACAATCAAGAGTTCTTTGAAGGGAATAGGTTCAGACTAGGCCCTGACCCAAAACAGTTTCTGCTAGAGCAGTAGGAAGTGAGAGGCTTTTCTTCTCAGAGGGCCACCTTGAGGGTGGGGGTTTGGGTTGGGGGGAAGACATATTTTCAGTTCCAAAATAAATAATTTGTGCTCTTAGGAGCAAGGACTAGGAGCAGAAAGCATGACCTTTATGCATTCAGTGGCCATCCCAGGGGGCGGGGGTGGGACGGAGGCCTTGACAGTGCAGCTCTGTCAACCTTCTCTCTGCCCTGTGGCTGACCTCCTTGCAGAGGCCCTGGCCTCTTCATTTTTCTCCAGTCTTTCCAACAAAAGTGCAAGGGAAGCCAGCAAAGCCCCTGAGAGCTTGAAACTTCTAGCACGCCTTGGTACTGTCTGGCCCTGTTCCAGGAATTCAGCTCACTTCAACAAGCATTTACCCTAATGTTTAATTGCAAACCGAGGTAAGCACCACAAAGAAAAGAAGAAGGTGCTACAGAGCTTGTAACAAGGAAACCTGATGCAGATATAGGGAGTTCAGGGAAGGCTTCCCTAGGAGCCGATGTTTCTGCAGAGACCAGAAAGTCGTCGAGAAGTTGGCCAGGAAATAGTGAGGGGAAGAACTAACAGCCAGATGGGGAAATTAATGTGCAAAGGCCCTGGGGCTGGAGGAAATATGACGTGTTGGTGGGACCGAAGGAAGACTGGAACCTGAAGAAGGTGTAAGGGAAGGCTGGGAGGTAAGTGGGGCCCTGGAACCATGTGGAGAATTCTGGACATAAGAGCAATGGGGAATACCCGAGCAGTCTCAGGCAATGTGTGACAAGACCATATTTGAGTTTTTAAACAATCGCTTGGGTTCTGTGTGTTGAAGAAACTGGGGTACAAGGCTTGAAGTGGGATGATTCGTTAGGAAGCGCCTATAGCCGTGGGGGCAAGGGGTACTGGGAGCATGGCCTTCAGGGTGGTGGTGAAACCAGCAGCAGGACACAAAAGACACACACATATGTATCCTTGTCCTTGGTCCACACTTGAGTTATCTCTTTTCCTCTTCTAGGCACAGTCTGATTCCACCTGAACACGACTGTCAGAGGAACACTGGTCCTGGGCTCTGAGCCCCGAGGCCCATTCAGGTGGGCCCTGGAGGGACCCTCTACCCACAGCTCTGCCCTCCCTTCTATCTTCTGGCAGAAAGCTCATCTTCATCTGCAGCCCGACCTCTCCCCTTAAATCCGGGGGCACGTGTCCAGCTGCCAACCCAACCTTCCACAAGGGGGTCCAACCGGCATCCCAAAGTGACCATGTCTGCACCAAGCCCTGGGAAGCTCTGAAACCTCTCTGCTCCCACTAGTCCCAGCTCAACTCTCACCGCCCCGCCCCCCACATTCATCCAGTTCTCTGACCAAAATCCAAGGAGTGGTCCGTGATCCCTCTCGTTTTCTCATACCCACAGGCAAACCCGCAGCAAATCTGGGCATCTCTATCCTCAAAATGTAACCTAGACCCAACTGTTTCTCACCGGCCTCCCACCCCAACAAGCCACTTCCGTGGACAACTGCAGTCGCCTCCTCCCTGGTCTTGCTACTTCCACTTTCCCTTTACACAGAGCGGCCACAGGCAGCCTCCCAAAATATGGATCCCAGAAATCCTCCTGGGGCTTCCCATTAAGTTTAGAATTAAATACAAACACGTCGGCCTACAAGGCCCTGGATAAGCTGCCTCCAGCCCCAGCTCTCTTTGACTACCATCTCTCGCCATTCACCCCTTCTCTGCTCATCCACCCGCTCCTTGATAATGCCAAGCACAGCCCCACCTCAGGGCCTTTGCACCTCCTGCTCCCGTGAATATTTGCCTGGTCACCCCCTCACTTTGTTCATGCCTCAGCTCAAATGTCACCTCCTCAGAGAGGCCTTCCGTGACCACCCCAATGAAAATAGCGCCCCCTTGCCTTCTCTGTCCCCACAGCCGGCTTTGTGTTCTCACGACCTTTGTCTCTACAGTATACTGTACTCAT